AACAACCCATTCTCGTCCAAAATGACCACAACTATTTTGGTTCAAGGATCTCCATGAGACCCAGCGCTCATATTTTCCGCATGAAAGTACTCTAGGAGCCTGGTTCTTTCACCGTCCGTCAACAAGTATGAACACTGATGTATATCCGTTACTTCAGTGCCTGACCCAGTCCTCTGACTATTTTACACTCAGGAATGGAAGCTAGACCAACGTTTCAGTATGTTAAGTATAAAAAAAAAGCAAAATTGTGCAGCATCAACGGCTGCACCCGGAGAGCTTCAATTGGATTCAAACGCTTTTGGTGAGCGTAGATTTGGCAGTACTGCACATCAGCACCGGCGAGCGATGGAATAGTGATTAAAATCAAAAAAAAGGAAAAACGAATCTTTTCTCCGAATTGGATGCCGCAGTTTGCTAGCTCTCAGCATTGCTCGTAATGGGAAATCACAGGGTAACTTCATATATCTTTATGCAGCTCTTATTATTTCCATCAAGTTTTAACCTCAAAAATGACTGAGGGAGGAGGTGCTTAATCTCAACACGTTTTTAGATTTTATACATTTTAACATTTCAAGCCAACATCTACATCGCAATTTTCCATTACAGTTGAAAATCGATGAATTTCCAGCCCTGGCAAATTTATTGACGGTGAAACTGCAAGAACGCGTATCTCGGCTGCGGTGTTTCAAAATCTCCGTTCCTATTTTATTTTTTAGAAGGAGACCAAATCGACATCATCGCTTGAAATTTTCGCAGAATATTCTTCAAATGCTCGAATAAAATCACCGGACTTCTCAAGACACGACGTCTCTTATTTATCGATGTAGACAATTAAGTATGACGGGAAGGCTTCAACGCCGCAAAGCGAGATACACATTTCTGCAGTTTCATTATCGTATCGAAATCCATCACGCAGCAAATCCATAAAAGCCACACGCAGTCAGTTTGATATACCCAGTGAATCCCATGCTGGTCTGAGCTCTTTGACTATGTGACGGAAAGTGCTAAGGAGGACTCATAGGTACCCTACTTTAGACTTGGACTAGTAAAGTCCCTATTGGCAACCGTGGGAAAATAGACCAATGAGTAACGTCTCGCAGTCGAACCGTCTTTAGCGCGCAGTTAAAATGAGATTCTGCACTTCGGGTTATGATCACTTGAAGTAGGGATCTGCCTAACAGTAATCCTCAATTAATAGTTACGATTTTAGCTGTTAGTCAGAAATAACAGTAATATAGATAACTGTATAAGAAAAAGTATTTGACACAAAACGCATCCCTTGAACAAGACTTGATTTCTCCGAGGCATGCGGTCAGCTAATATGGCAGGGCCCTCTCTAAGGAAAATACAGCATTATTCCAATCTCTCAATATTTTTCATTTTTGTAACGTTTCGTGCTTTCAACCAAGTATTTTTTATTTTTTTATTTTTTAGTTTTGCACGTGGAGGAATGAACGGCTTTAGTGTCGTATTGGGAATAAGGTACACCTGAGGCAATAATACTTTTAAAAATTACATGGCGGTTGTAGCGTTCGACTTTGTACAATCCACGCAATTCAGAGATTTTCTAAAATTCCACTTGTCCATCCTCCCAGTTTAGAGTATATCTTGGATAGCTACGAGAAGGTTAACTACGTACCGCAGGAGGTTAAAGCCGCAGTGCGTGTTGGCTATTCATTGATGTTACTGGTATCTCCGTTCGAAAAGTTTCCTTGCTCATTTGAAACAGAGCCTAATTTTTGACTTTCTCTGGGACACTCCTAATTATTCTTTTTCTCTTAAAAATGTATTACAGGGATACATTTTAATATTATCTGGCTTTGCAAGTAACTTTAGAGCGAACGTCTTGAGTATCTCCGTTCTAAAAAAAGTTGCATACAATGTGTTTTTCAGAATGCATAGGTATCGAGGTACGGCAACCGGTAGCATTTAGACTCTTAATTTCAAGGATTTGTGAATCGTGTGAATCACACAAATAACTACCATGTATCGAGGCACTCTATTTTCAATTCAAATTCCATGTTCAGTCAAATAATTATGATTATGAGATCCTATGAAGGGCCGACAAAAAAATGTCCAAAATTGGATGATTCTACTCGTTCACCATACAATAAGCAACTCGTTTAGATTCCACAGTCTAGATTGTTCACATTCAATAATCGGCTGAATCATTTCCGGATCCAATAAGCGGCTCATTCACGTCCTCTGAACGGCTAATTTATAGATTCAATGGTAAAGGATCTCTCGCAGATTCAACGATTAGGACCGTTCAAATCCCAATGACCCGCTTAAAAACCAAGATCATTTTGAATGATCCAGCGAGAAACTCTGTTAATTTTCAACGATCTTACATCTTTTCCCCAGAGATATTGGCATGTTCTGCTTGATACTGTCTTTATCGACTCTGGTATTAAACTTCGACTGAGGAAAGAGTCTCTAGCAGGGACTAAACTGGAATTTGGAAAGACTAAGTTTTCGTAAAAGTGTTGTGATCATACAAACTGCTCAGAACAAATCATTATGCTCGGAAAAGTAGATGATTATCATGCAGGGCAAAAACCGATAAGTCTCATGACTTTAAAATTGTGCACGCACACAGATTAATGAAAAGCACAATAAAATATGACCGGTCGGTTTTTCTGTGCGTCTGCGGGAATGGTAATGCGCGAGGCACGAAGGCTGCTCTAGCATCATTTCTGGACTTGGTTGAAAGCCCAAGGCATCCGAAGAGGAAGGCCTCATTCGCAGCGGACTGCTGAGCAACTTTCGCATTACTGACTGATCACGTGGAAGTAACTAGGGATTTTCTCCCGAAACAAACAGAAAACCTCCAATTAATTGCACGATTGGGCACCTTTGGGCTTGTGCGAAGAGCAGTTTTTTATGGCTTCGAAGAACCTATGAATTACCAACAGGAAGGGTCAAGAATCCACGCTTGTTCCTATTGTACACAATTATTGCCTTTAGGGCTTTTTTCCGTCTCGGCTAACGGTTCATCAAGTTGTAAGATTTTTTTTCCATTCCTCATCGCTTCTTTTTCAAAATATTTCATTTTTATAATATCTATGACTTGAGTCGGAAACTCCGCTGAAGCACCGCACCGGATCTAAAGGCGGAAATCGTGGCGATTTGAGATACGTACTCCGCTTAGAAAAGACCGTCGGTGAAAGATCACGATTTATTTTGTCCATAAACCCCTGTGATTGAGTTTGCCTAAATTACGTCTAAGGGCTGAGTTAAAATTGATTAAATGTATAATTTCATGTCCTATTCAGCGATAAGCCAGGGTACAAATCAACGCGCTCATAGTCCTCGTTAGGTCACTTTCAAATCTCTTATGGCTCGTCGTCATACAAAGTAGTTTTGATTTTACCACTCACATATTATGGACCGCGTTCAGCAGAAAGGCACTATTAGCTATTTCTTTTAACTGAGCAATTTAATGTTTGTCAAGAGAACGTTTGTACAGATTACTTTGAACATTTTAAAGAACTTGCTTCGTAGCATGCAAAAAATTCACTAAAATTTGAACACAAATCTGCTTAACCGTTTACATTTAAAAAATTAATATACCCAATGAAAGTTGACGATAGCTGATGTGACTTGGCTCTTTTCTGCTTAACGCGGTCCATATATCATCGGAACTCATAAGGAGCCACAAGCCATTATTCCCCTTTTCTTTTTAAAAAATAAAAAATAGAAAAAGAATGTCTTGTAAGTACTGGGTTAGTGGGTTAGACGGTGATCTTTTCCAATTCCATGGAGCCGAAATCTTGGAGACAATTAACGGCTTCTGAAAAATCCGAAAACTCGACGGAATTCAAACGCACCGGAGTGGCAAGAAAATGATGGCGCTAAAATGTTGCGGTGGTCAAATCGCTATCCTCTTTCGTTCTTCAGAGATGCTAAAATGAGAGAATCTTGGTTCAACTTAGCAACAAGGCGAGTGATGGAATTCTTGGAACTCACATGGCTTTGTTAAGAGACGGATTGTCTTCATTACTAAAAAGGTAATTCCATGACACTTCATAAGTTGTGCGTCACGACGTAGCGCGTTTTGACAATGATTGATGAAACTGTCAATACTATAGGTTTTGTGGAGCCTGGCCATTCGTAAAATTTGTGTTTTTCGACTAAATTGGTTGAAAGTCACGAAGCCTGAGACCGATTTTTATTGCCAGAAAATGGGTTCCAAATTAAAATTTAGAATTAATTCTCCTTTTGTCTATCGCCGGAGCACTGATGATAACAATCACGATAAATAGAGGCAGTCATAAGGTAGCAATTGTAACATTATACCCTGTCTCGGTAGTTGGTGAATTTTGAAAAAGGCAGTGCCCTTACAATATGACCAATCATTGGATCAGTTGTTGACCAGGTTGCTCAAAATGCAATAGGAAGGTACCCTCAAGGGTTGAGGGTCCCGAAAAAAAGGAGTTCTCACTTGTCGCTAAGATGCTATATAGTGAAAGGTCTTCATTTGTCTACGGTAATGAGTCACCAAAATGATTGTAAATGGTGAAATTCTTCCAGTGCACTTTTAAAAGTTGAGAGTGTAACCTTTTCCACAATGTATCAGATGTATCAATGTATCAATGATCAGATACAAAAATTTCCCTAACGTAGCAAGACAGTCTCGGTGTCGCGATTGGAATATTAATTTAAAAAATCGATTTTTAATCAGAATTTTTAAAATTTTACCATCGTAAATTTTAATGTCGTCGTCGTTGGTTTTCGACGTGTCAACACTGCTACCCACGATAACCTGAAGGAAGCGTAAATATTTTGTTAAAAAGCGTAAATACCCAAAACGCGCATCCCCTGACCAACTGACCACATGCTTTACTTTTTCATCGGATAGGAAAAGTAACAAACTCAATAATATGAACCCAATTCAATTTAACCAAAGATTTTCATTAGAGATTTAGACGGTTTTGAGCGATCCACGGGATTTGATGGCAGTCAAAATAAGCTTCAAAGTAACTTCAAAATTTACTAACCGGCTGTGGTGGGGAAAGTGAGTGCGCTGCATATCAGAGCTAGTGAAACAGTCAAGGATAGCCTCTTCGAGGATGTTCGCATAGTGCGGCAGCGTTGTCCAGTTCCAATCTGAAACAGAGGAAAGTATTGTCTTATTAATTGAATTGCGCACCAGTGAAATTTATAAGCTCTGCTCAGGCTTTTTTCGAAGAATTTTCATTTATTTCACACCAAACTCGAACTTTTATCTCAAAGGATGACTTTTTGGCACGTATGCGTACCAAAGATAAAGCAATGACAGATAAATTTTCAAAATGATGGAATTTCCATCAAAATTTAACTTGCCTAATTTCAGTAAACTGACTAAGTCAGCTGATATTGAAAAATTAGTACAGTATAAGTGAGCACAAATTATCGTCATTTCTGACATATTAGCAGTATGTCCACTTACCCCCGAAGGAGACTACTGCTGTTTTGAATAAAATGATACCCATCTCTGCCAGTTTCAACTTTGAAACGTGTTTTTATGTGCCCAAAATGCAACCAGGTAGATTAGCAAGAACATCATAGCACCGGTTCTTAAGGTACCGAAATTCGATTAGCGACTCGAGCTGAAATCACGCTTTTAGGCAAGTAGGCAGGTTCTGTAAAGTTTGAATGTATATGCGGGTAAAATACTGAAAATTTGTCTAAGTGCACAAGTTTCAGCATAATTTCACGTGGTTAGGTTAGCACGGTTTCCCTGAAAAAAATTCCGAATATTTTTTTTTAAACTTCAATGTAGCGGCATTCGCAACTGTAATTCGTCGTATACTCATTGCCAATCGCGGTTTTCGCCGATCGATATGGCACGCGAGGCACACATGCTTTCTACTAAAGATCTTTCGTCCACGGACGTAACTATTTGCACATTTTCGCGTTATTAGCACAGTTCCCCCGAAGATGTTTTTACAAATCCTCCCTCTTCCAACGTTTCCCAAATTCGCACCCATACAGAGTCGCACTCATTACAAATCGCATTTTTCGCCGGTCAAAGTCACAGGCGAAGCTCAAATTTGTGCCACTAAAGAGCTGAAAATCTCTAATGTGGTTCAGCGTGAGCAAATTTTTAAATAATGAGGTCTCCATGCGTCAAGCAAGTCGCATTTTTCGGTCCGCCTACTTTTCTAACGCTGCGTTAAAGTCTCTGAAGCAATTCCTGCGTTTTGCCGTTTCGACAACCTCTTGCCTGGCTCAGCTCGATCACTTTTTTAGGATATGGAACCTTAGAGGCGTCTTTCCAGAATGTCTGACGTCAGTTCATCGGGATCCTCTAAAAATTAAAGACTATTTTTGCGACTTGAACGAGTAATTATCATTTTTACCCTAAAGAAATATCCACACCAGCCACAAACGATTCCGACGTACATTTTTCTTGCGATCCACCCTAATGGTCATTTGCTTGCTCGCTTTTGATTGCAAAAATGCATTTGCAGTGCCATGGGCGGAAGTAGGGGGTCTGACACCCCCCCCCTCGAAAAAAGCTACCTGGCCTTTCTAAAAAATTTGAGAGATTGCAAGAGAGATTTGCTAAGTATATATATATGCATGACATATCTTTCATCTTTAAAATTTTAATGGGATCAAATTCTTGTTGAAAACAACTCAACATTAATCCTGAGACGATTCAAGAGTTCAAACTTGCTTTGAAAAAAATCATTTGGTTGATTTTGGGCATGAAAGGTATGAAGTAATTTTTCGTCGAAGCTTAGCTAAACTTCCTGCAGGCTTCCAATCAACAGGAGCGTTATGTCCACTTACAGCCACGAGAGTTCCATAAAAGTTAAAAACTCGTACAGACCAATTGAAAAAACGGCTTAATTTTCCTTCCTATCGTAAAAAGATAGGTACGTGCGTGCGTTTGTGCAGTGCCGCTTTTATGGCGCACCAGGGTGCTCTGCGAAACCTAACCGCCTCTGGAGTATGTCAAGGTAGAAATATTCCAGGATCTAGCATCTCCCCCCGCCCCATCCCTTTGAGAATATAAAGGGCGGCATTGATAGGCGGCATAGACAATACCGCCTACCTATAAACTGATTATTTTGTAGAACGAAGAAAAGACTTCGCCATGATTGTAATTTTGGGATTAGATTTGCAATTTTTTTCAAACATTACAGAATAAATCAGTGTTTCCATGCGGAATTGGAGACAATTAAATACGTCAATTTGCTGATTTTATACTGTAGAGTGCAGCAAAGCTATTAACTCTTTCCGCCAAAATAAATCGTCAGTTAGGTGGTATTGTCCCATAGCCCCCGCTATCCACCCTCTGACCATAAAAATGTCCATACTCTCCCTATGTAAGTAGCCTGGCTGGGTAGCTGGAAGGATTCGTTTGAAGACTTCTAGAAGTCGGAAAGGAAGCGCGGCGTGGGCTCGGGCGATTTGTAGACGCCTGGAAAGAGATTTGGCGTAATTGCGGGAGGTAATAACGGGCGCCGCTCGCGTCTCGGCCGTTGACTGGCAGTATATCAATGACGGAGTCGACGAACGCGGGGCGAGCGGCGAGCGGTGCGTCGAGCTGCGTTCCTTGCGGTGAAGATCAAGGTCGCTCATCGAGCGTCATACGTCGCGTCGCTCGACGCGTAACATCAAAGCGTCACGCGTCAGCGGCTCCCCGTTGCGTCACGTCGCAGCGTGTCACACAACCCTCCACCGCGCCGCGCCGCACACTGGATCCAGTCTACAGGAGAGCTCGGACAAAATTTGGACGCTTTTAACTCCGTGTATACAAAACTTTGAGGTTCTGAAAGTGGTTCCATTGGTTTCCTCGTGAAGTGCTCTTCTTCAAGCACCCTTTGAAATTTAAAATGTGACCAAATAAACATAAAAAATTGCAGTTTTAGTCAAAAATTTCATGTCCGACCTCTTTAATTGACTGGATCCACTGTGCGCCGTCTCGCGCGGGCCACTGCCCGCCCGGCGCAGCGTAGCGCAAGGTGTTGTTCTCGCTTAATTCGATGCGCAAACACTGGAGGAACCATGCGTCGTGCGTGCACCGTGGTGGGTGAACACCGTGAATCGTGCAGATTTCACTCGGTTCCCGAATTTGGTAACAATAGACCGATTTAGTGGCTACGTCATTCGATGTACCTACATCCCTGTTCGATGAGTCAATGTAAACAGACGCACATGACCCCATCTGAAGGTGCACCTCCCGAATTTCACCATATGGTGAAATTCGTCCGAGAGTTTCTACAAAATTGAAAATATTCAATCGACATTTTTTGCCCTCAATTAAATGCCTCTTGGTTCGTATTGACACGTGGAGGTTGTTGGGAATCCGATGATGGGATGAAATTGAATGTTTTAGGTTTGATTTCATGAGGGTCTCCGTCATCTCCAAGGTACTTGAATTCCGGAACAAATTTTATGGACAACTCTAGGGTTTGGTTCCGGGAGGCGGTACCTCTTGAAACATCAACCTGTTTAATAAACTTCTATAAAAGGCTCATGAACGCCATTGTCCGTAGTTATTAAATTTCTTTAACAACGTGCGTCCGTCGATTGAATTCGCCGTGTAAGTCAAAAATTATGGTTCCATAAATTTCTTGGACATGACCCCGATTCGCGCTGGCAACAAAATCAAGTAAGTGATATGTAGAAGCCCATTGCATCCGGCCGCTACGTTAGGTTTTCATCTGTGCGGTCGACGCGACGTACCTATGGAAAAAGGAAGGCTCTTGGCTTGGCGGGTCGTAACATAGATTTGTCTCATTCATGAATCCTTTACCTTTCGAATTGATCAAAGTTGGTTGGATTTCGCTCTTTAAGAACTATTATCCGGAGCAATTTTAAACACTTTGGGTAGCAAAACAAAACACTCCGACTCAAACCTTAATAAAACGCTCTTAGTATAAAAAGATAGTAGATAAACCATGTGTTCCCCCACCTTTCAGAATATTTTGCTAGATTATTCGAGAGCTGGTGCTAAGGAATTCACACAAGGTATAACATCCTTCAATGTTAACAGTGCAAATTTAAGAGGGGTCTTCTTCAATTGGGCGTGGCAGGGGAGGAATAACTTACCACATCTCTTGTTATAATTGGAACGCGTTAAACAGAAAGGAACCAAGCTACATCAGCTATTGCCTAATTAATCGGGCAATTTAGTTTTTTACATGAAAACGGTTGTGCGGATTTTTGTGCAAATTTCTATGAATTTTCTCTAAAATACGAAGCAAATTCCTTAAAATTTTCAAAGGAATCCGCACAAACGTTCTCTCCTAAAAAATCAAATTCCTCTGATAAATTTGGCAATAGCTGATGTGGCTTGGTTCCTTTCTGTTTAACGCGGTCCAATTGTGATCTAGCTCGCTTACTGGGTCAAACCAACCAAGCAATGGACTAAATGGGCACAATTATGATAAAAAAAGGTCACTGTCTTGTCAAAACATCAGCAATAGAGCAGGGCCGGATTAAGGCGCGGATGGGCGGCGGCCCATGGCGGCAAATCTAGGAGGCGGCAAATTTTGCAATTTTTTTAAATGTAGGTATAAAGAAAACTCGGATTTAGAAGAAAATTACAAACAAAATCTCTCATTTCCTGAGAGTATAGTAATTTCTAATTTTGTCGTTTTTCGGTGATACAAGAGACAGCACTTTTAATATAATCGAGTTAAGAGAGAAACCAAACACGCAATTTGGCCAGGAACGGCATGACTGAGAGAGAAATGATAACGAGGTCTTGAGATGGAAAGGAGAAGCCCTCGGCGCGGCGGTCGGCATGTAACGCATATTAGCGCCTACATTCCTACAAGACTGCACGAATACTTCACGCATTGCACCAAACACAGTGCTGTCACTGCGGTCAGCGTGAAACGGATAGCGCCTACAAGAATGCATGAATACTTCATGCACTGCATCAAACAAAGTGCGGTCACTGCGGTCAGCGTGAAACAGATAGCGCCTACAAGACTGCGTGAATACCTCACGCATTGCGGCAAACACAGTGCGTTCAGCAGCGGTCGTCGGCGTGAAACTCATAGCGTCTACAAAACTGTCGGAATACTTCATGCATTGCTCCAAACACGGTGCGGTCTGCGCGGCGCGGCGGAAGTTAAAACCATTAAACCACATTTATGTTTGTT